TCACGATCTAGTGAACGAATTCACAGTCTTGAGTAATTTCATACACTGTCAATAATCAGTTTAAACGTAGATTATCTCGTCGCCAATGTCATGCTGAAATCATTGGATCTCCTGACAAAGGATTACCTAGAAATGTGATTCTTTCAGTTTGATCTCAAGTGCGATTATGTGTATATACCATTGAGAGTCTCATACTGGGAACAAACAACTCTCCTATGGTTTCACATGTTTAGTCGTTGTTTCATTACACTTAACCCTTGATGTAAACTACAAATGAACGCCAGATCAAGTAGAGATAAACTCAATTTCTATCCGGGATTTTTAATCTGTTAGTTAGTTTGGAAACGTAATCTGTCACGTATTATAGCATTTATTGCCCACTCCTCACAATTCTCACAGTGATAGTTCATTTGTGTTTATTAACCGATAAGCATTTGGAATCATTTCGGAATTAGTGAATCACAAAATCTATGTTAGTCAATTATAGGCGAAATTATACTTGAAACGAATGTGTGTGAGTTCAAGTCGCTGCATGTTATATAGGCGCATCGATATATGAGGAACAAATGAGATAGAATAATAATATTTGATTCATGGAAAATTTAAGCACTCAAAATATCATTTGACGATTACCACAGGGTTGGAAAACTCAAAGGTGTGCAACGACATAAAACTGAAGATTTACAGGTCAATGATTAGTCATTATTTTTGTGATGTCATCCATCGGATTCAGTTATAGATTACAATCATCGCTCGGATCCAAAATCTCAAGTTTAAAATCGGAAATGTTTGAATGATGTAGAACATTTATAACTTATTTGGATGCTTTTGGTATTCTTGCATTTTCCTATGTACACAATTTATTTGAGGAGCTGTAACGACCATTCCAGACGACATCATCAAAGCTTAGTTACCAATGAGTCTCATATTTATACTAAGTGACTTCAAGAACTTATCTATGTCTTCATTTTATGGTTTTACTTCTTTGTCAGCTTACTGCTAACCATTAAATATGCAAGGTCAAATTAGGCTATGGTTACGCTTGAGTATTACATGACCAAACCATCTGAAAATTTATACAATTGCCAATAACCGTTTCACTATTTAAAGTTAATGCAAGTGATTTATGCTTTCTCTGATAACCTTTTTAAATAGTTAATTTTAAAGTTGCCATCTTCAGTGAAGTTTATCCTACACACTTCAATTTAGTTCGGCATCCAACAAAAGAACTGTATACGTTTATGATGAGATATGTTTCACTTCCTACGCTTGAAATTCTAATCTAATACATACCATTAAAACGAGGTCTTTCCTTTACATAACTTAGTTTCTATCAACTCACTCATTTCTTATCGATTCATATATACATAAATATTAGTCCTCTAAAACAAACCGTATGGTTTGCTCTTAGATATTTGGAAGCATATAGTGATCTTTTGATCTAAACATTTTAATGAAATACGTAATAATGTCTATGAACAACGTTGAATGCTGATTGTTGTTTTATTTACAGGTAAATCTTGAATAAACACTGAAGTTTACATAACCTGACACAATTTGTACTCCGATTTTCTATATTCATTACATTGGGTAACAAATTAAATTTCAGTGTGTTTCAACTGAAAACAAAAAGTTATTGATCTATGAAGAGTTTTACTTTCACTTTTTTTATAACTAACAAAATTAATGAGAAATATATATATATACGAAACAGAAAATGAGGTCAGTTACACTCATCAATAAAATGTTTCATTTACAAAATATGATCCACCTGAATAGATAGACACATATACGTATGTTATTAATTTTTTAGTGTTAGAGAGTTTGAAACAAATACATTAATCAAATATACCATGACTTTCCAGTTTCTCAGTTATAACACTTTAAAATTTATAACCTACCGAAAAATGTGATTACTAGGGATAAGGTAAAGTGATTTCATGAAAATGAAATCTGATAAAAAAAAATCTATAGAAATCAAGAAAAGCTAAACTTGAAAACTGAAAAATGGCGTTTCAAATGCAAATGCATATATTCGAATGAATGAAATGAACGTGAAAGTAGATGAAATTTCTTCTACTTTTGTGTAAGGTGCTTAACTGCATTCCTTTTAACTGTTAAACTTAACAAATAACCTAGAATAGAAGTAGTAAATAAATGATCTACCACATTGCACAAAAATTATTTACATTATCTAAATATGCATTTACGGAGATCAATTCATTTATGTTAAAAATATCTAACAGTTTTTTAAATATTATGACAAAACATGTATTTCAGTCTTCTTGTGAAAATATATACGTTGTTCCATGCTAACATATATAAGTCAATAAAATAGCACAGATAAGATAGCTTAGAATAAATTATATATATATAGATGATAGATTCGAATCTATGATCTTTTAATCTGCAAAGTCTAGAAAGTCTACCAATCTGAACATCTTTTGAATTCTTTTAGTGTAGAAACTTAAAGAATAACTATAAGCTTTTGAAAATTATACTCGAAACATTTGACAGAAAATAACTTAATGAAAACCAAAATCCAAATAGTTTAGACTGATTATGAAACCCTAGTAACTAAATCTTTTTTAGTATAGATGTTTGAAACAAATTCGACGAATGTCTCTAGCTACCAGATGAAGAAAAATAGGAAAAAGTAAGTAGATGAGCAGATTAGACAAAAATTTTTTACACTATCAAAAACTTGACCACATCGATACTGGCTAGTCTAATTACTTAACCCTTTTAGATGACTAACTTATGCGAGTCTTGAATATTCCTTTAAAATATTAATACAATTCCACAGATATGAATTACAATTTTGATCCGTTTGGTTAGACATGTATCAAAAGTGTGCTAAACATGAACAATAATAAACGAATCTTATCTCCTTAAAAATCGATTTTGTTATCATTCCACTACATCTGTATACGTATATATATCCAATCTACATGAATTCAAGACCGCAAAAAACTGAGTCACACAATAAAGTCATTAGAACGTGTCAAATATATAATTTGTCTGACAAGCACACAATTTAAGGTTTCTAAAACTAATTTTAAAACATTAGGACACAAACTTTATTCACGTCAAAATGTTTCCCATTCATTGCATTACACTTGTTTGATCTCAGCACACATTGTTCGACACATTCCTTCAAATCTTTCCGACTCCAGATTTTCAGCTGCCTCATGGTTCTTCGTTATTCCTGAAGTCAAAAGTCCAACAGAATCATGTGCACAAATGATTTCGCCAAATTCAGCTCATCCAAAATTTTGACAGTGAGCAAACCGTCGGAAAGAACAAGAAGCCACACAAGTAAAATAATTTCATCAACAGAGCAGGTCAGCGGTCCTGCTCGTTTTGAGTAGTTTTTAGACTTTACATGGCCCTTGCTGAAATGCTTGATACATTCAAAGAAATCGTTTTTTCGTTGAGTTACGTTCCTCAACGATCCTTAACATTGCATGAATTTTCTTTGAAATTTTTCCAATCCCACGGAAATCTTGATCAACTTAATACACGTTTTTGCATGACAAATTAAGTAGATATTTTGTTGATGAAAATTTTAAAGTAATCAAAGTGAATAATGTTCAGAAAAAAGTTTGTAGTTCAAATGTTTAAAAGGTACTAAAGTTACTGATCAAAACGAAAACCATTGGAACACTGATCAACAAGAAAAATTTGCATTTTTTCCAGCTGATTAAAACAACATGATGAATAATAACCAAAGGTCTTTCTAACATCTTTAAAATATTAGATTGAGTGATGGCAGTTGAGTATTTAGATTATAATTAAAAGTTTGATGTCTTAATTAAGGGTTGTAAAACTCCGAACTTTTTGGTTCAGAGATCCACTATGAAGGTTTAAGCAACCAATATTCTCTTCTAGTAAAATCGCTTTCATCAAGGTTAATTTATCGGGATTTTTTGAGTCTCCAAAAGAAATTTACATTAAACTTCAACCGACTAATATATTGCTTCCTCTCTCCATTTATATTTCTATATATAAACTACTTAACAACGAGCACTCACTCACTCGATCTTTAGTGTTTAATATAGAAATATTAATCAACTTGGTGAAATATCTGCGAATAATTATATTTGCCATAGAAATTCGAATTTTAGTACAATCCAATTAAAATCAACTATATAATTTATTGAATTAATGTTGATAAGCACCGTCTGAAAACATTTTTTATACGATTATTCATTAGTTGGCACAAATTGTTTTTAATCTCCGCTATCAACTTATCACTTATGCTGTCAATGCATTTTACACTTCTGTTGTCTTTAATCTCCATTATGTAGTTTTACCCTACTTTCAAACCACGCATAAATACTATGCGTGTTTTTTTGCTCTCGAAACTTTAAAACTGTTTATCATCAACCGATATTAGTTTCTTCAGATTCCTTATCTTATGGATTACATTCACACACACACGTCTAAGCTACAGGTACAGTGAATGTAATTCTATTTGTGTCAGCATATGTAACCATATGGTTTTGTTTTACTTTGATAACCACAAGTCTCACTTAATAACTATTCTTACATGATATTAGCTAGTCGATTACTAATCGAATATGCAGTTTATTGCTTGAAGTGCTTATTTTATTCTTATGCATACATATATTCCGATTAGACGTTTTCGATAAAACAATTTTAAAAGTGTTCGATGAAAAATGCTTAATTAGCTATGAAACAGCCGTTTTTAAGACATGTCTTTAACAGATTGTTATATTCTTAAAATGTTTCCTAGCACTTCGCAGTAATCATATTACACTGGAAAATTGCAAGGTTAATAACTCAATTATGCAAAACTATTCCTAATAATTCATCACCTTATGATAAGTGCTAATTGAAATAATGGTTATCGATTTGAAATTAACTTTTCCTGACGTCATACATAGCATTTTACTAAGTGATAAATAAAGATTCATTAATTATCGACGCATAATTTCGATAAATTGTATTTTTCTTTCATTTTGATGAAAATACAGCACAGTAATGGTGTGGTTCATCGAGATCTGAAGGCGGAGAATGTTTTTATCGTCAGCAACATGTATGTTAAACTTGGTGATTTCGGCTTTTCTAAATGTGTTGCTCCAGATGCTGCCTTGACAACGTTTTGTGGCTCTCCGCCATACGCTGCTCCTGAGTTGTTTGTTGCGGATTCTTACACAGGACCAGCTGTGGATCTTTGGGCTCTTGGTGTTCTCTTATTTTATATGGTAACTGGAAGTTTGCCTTTTAAAGCGGATAGTTTACACAAAATTAAACGTTTAATTCTATCAGGTGATTACCGAATCCCAGCCTATGTTTCAAACGATTGTCAAACATTAATCTCAGGATTATTGGCGACTAATGTTGAACGCAGATATACCGTATCTCAGGCGAAAAGTTCCACATGGTTCAACGACATTGACTGGCAGCATCTAATGAAACATAAAGATCCAACTCCTGATGAGATTGATGATGCATCTGCTAGGTATCTATTAAAAAAATGGTGGGATGTAGACTCTTATGAATTAGATAAAGCATTAAGTGAAGGCCCTAAAAACAAACTAACTGGTATTTATCGTATTCTTCGTAGCAAAGGTTTACAATACAAGAAAGATCCTACCTTACCTGATCAAAAATATAAAAATAAACGAGGTCGAGTTAAACGTAATGGTTCTTGTAGTACCGGTAAAAATAAACCACGTCCAGCTAGCGTATCACATAAAGAATTAACGACTGTTGATCTGAGAGATCAAAAATCTATGAAAAATGGTGAAAACTCTACACGAACTTGCAACATTTTGTAAAAAAATGTATAATTAATTTTCATTTTATTCATTCATTCATTTGTTTTTTAACTGTAAAAATTTTATTTTCCTCTTCAATGTCTCACTTTGTGTTTGTTTATTTTATTTACTCTATAATAATTTCGGATGGAATACAGGTTAAAATGGACTGTTTTGTAGTCTTTAGCATCACATTATACTATTTAACATTTTGGTACTATTTCTCTGATACATTTTTTTTAATAAAAATATATTATCAATAACTTTTCATCACTTTGGTTCAACTTCACTGATTATTTGTACGATGTAAGATGTTGTTTTAATAATAATAATAATGATAATAATAAATAATCTATTTTTAACATAAATATAAATTTATATCACATGTCTTTCTACTGTTGGTAATATTTGCACTGCCTAATATCATGTTTCTTATTTTAACTTATTGTTTGTTTGTTTGTTTTTTCAATCATTGTTTTATATTCAAATTAAAAAGAAACCTAATTTCTATTGTTTTCATAAATTTTATCAATATAATGTTGATTGTTTTATGTATGTTTATTTCAATTAAATCTAGTAGATATTTCAATAATAATTAATCATTTCTATTGTTAAAATTTTTATTCATTATTATACAAATTACATACATATAATTAAACTATATCATTGTATTACATGATGATTGGCTGTGAAATAATGATTATTCTCTGATTGGTTGTACGGTTGATAGATCGATTGATTAATCAATCTATCGATTAAATGTGCTTTTTTTCTAAAAAACAAAAAAATATTATTATACATAATATTATGATTCATTTATTTAACTGACCTAACTAAACACCTAATTCCTTGATTGATTCATCATTTATTTGCAATATATTTGTTAGTTTATTTTTAACTTTATTTTCTCTTTCAGGTTCTTTCTTGTGGTTTCACTTTTTGTGATTATTATTATCATTGGTTGATTTTATTGTATATTTTCTAAAAGAAAGAATCTCTTTGATTTGCAACATTGTCTTTTCTATTAGATTATATTATGAATCAAACTACGTAATGAATATATAATTATAATTATTATTTTTATTGACAGTACTTACATATGTTGATTAACCAAAATAGTAAAACTTTATTCATTTCCATAATTAGTGATTTTTATTCTTCCTTTTAAAATTATTATCTATAAAAGAAGTTGAAAATACATGTAAAGATGCAATTAACATGTAAACTTCTTGTATGTAAACTTGAAAATAATGAACTGATCAATCATTTAAATTATCATGTGTACTTATATTCGGTTAAACTGGTTAAATGAAAGGAACCATAAGAATTTTGTCTATCTCTGTATCACGAATCGTTAATAACGAATATCATACTTGATACTATTTTACAGTAAAATGATGGGAAATACAAAAATACTTTTTTTCATTATTTTAATCTCAATTATTGTATTTTCTCTTTTCCTAGTTTAATCGATCCATTATCTTTTCTGTTTTGTTTTTCGGTTATTTTCTAAATTTCTTATCCTGGTGTTGTTTCATTGTGTATTGTTTAGATAAAAGACAGACTGAAGTGAAATCTCATTCTTTATACACTTTTCATAAACTATTTATAGTTTTTGTTATATATTACAAATTGAATTGATTTGTTTTTCTACTGAATAGAATAATTGTATTTGATTTTATGTAGAATATATAAATGACAAAATGGAAAAATAAACAATTTTGTTGACCTTTTTAAATCGTCCTGATTATCTTTTGAAACTGTTTTAGATGGTGGTTGGAGGTAGTCGACAGGAAACCCTGGACCCGGATTTCGTGCTACTTGGCACTCGTCAGCAAGTTGTACCTGTAATCTTGAGGGAACTGGTGCTCCCTGATGGATTCGATCCCGTATCACCCAACTTCACGATCAGAAACGTTACCACTGAGCTATCCGGACCGTGACCGACCTCCTGTAGAACTAAGATGTAATCACAGTTGATTGGGTTCAGGGTTTCCTGTCGACTACCTCCAACTACCATCTAATCTCAATATATTACACTCAGTGTCGAGTCACCCAGACTGGTGGCCACATTGCAACATGGTCGATAGCACTCGACCTGCACTAATAAGGACTTGACACATATGACATTGATCACCACCCAGTGATCAATCAATTGTGGTTTGAGACTGTTTGTTTTTCTTCCATGAGCAAGGAACTTGTTTCTAGTTAATTGAATTTCATTGTTTAATGAATTTAGAGGAAAATCATTTAAATCTGTCTTGTAATATTATTTGACATTGTTGATAAACTTGTGATATTGATCAAGAAAAATCTGTGGATGTTTGCGATTGAAGTTTGAGGATTGACATAATTCTTACTAAGATTACATTGTGAAGTTAATTTTTATATATTCATCACTGTGTACCCAACACTCTTAGTTTAACAAAATGAAATTCCGGCTAACTCTGATCAATACCTTTCAGTATCTTAGTTGAAAACATTACTACTAACCAGTTGGTTTGTTTATAATTATATACATAGTTTTCAGACGAAAGTCAGTGTGATGTATTAGCCTTCAGCTTTTGTTAAATATATATTTATACTTATGATTTGTGATGAAACTACATGGACGAGTAACATGATGTTGTAAAAATCAATCACTTGTGAATAAAAAGCGCTCAACACGTTAAGTGTCGTTTGTTGCTCAGATGCCATAAGTAAAATAATTCTATAAAAATTCAGACTATGCAAATTAGTAGCGATTAGGAAACAACCTGAATGATAAGGGTTTAAAAGCTTGTATAAATAAGTGTTGACATTGTTAAACTGTTTGTAAAAACACAAACGCTCATGAAAATTTTCACACTAGAAAACTCATGCCTATAGAACTATATGAATAACCTGAAGAACGTGTAATACTGGATACATTCACAATCAAAAGTGAGCTTCATCAAATTTTCTAATTCACATAAACACTGTGAAGAAAAATTAAAGTTTGTAAAGCTCTTTACTAGAATGCAAGTTATCTTTTATTGATTAGCTTACCTTTGTAAGTTTCCCTGTAGTAAACTGTCTCACAATGTTTTACACTCATTAATAAGCATAATTTTCTTATTTCGTATAAAATAAATCTTGGGAGTATCACTGAGATTCAACAACAGCGCAACAGATGGGCAGAGTACTTCGAGGAACTCCTGAACAGACCGGCTCCAATGAATCCACCGGACATCGAAGCAGCACACACAGATCTTCCTATAAATGTCAATCCACCAACGACAGAAGAAATCAGAATGGCCGTCAGACAAATCAAGAGCGGGAAAGCAGCAGGACCTGACAATATACCAGCTGAAGCGTTGAAGTCAGACATCGAAGTAACTACAAGCATGCTTCATCTTCTATTCAAGAAGATTTGGGAGGAGGAACAAGTGCCGATGGATTGGAAAGAAGGACACCTCATCAAGATTCCAAAGAAAGGAGATCTGAGCAAGTGTGAAAACTACAGAGGCATTACACTACTGTCAATACCGGGTAAAGTCTTCAACAGAGTGTTACTGAACAGGATGAAAGACGCAGTTGACGCTCAACCTCGAGATCAACAAGCTGGATTCCGTAAGGACCGGTCGTGCACAGACCAGATTGCGACACTACGGATCATCGTCGAACAATCAGTTGAGTGAAACTCGTCACTCTACATCAACTTCATTGATTATGAGAAGGCATTTGACAGTGTAGATAGGAGGACGTTATGGAAAATTCTTCGACACTACGGAGTTCCTGAGAAGATTGTCAACATTATCCGGAACTCATACGATGGACTACAGTGCAAAGTAGTGCATGGAGGACAGCTGACTGACGCATTCCAAGTAAGGACCGGAGTAAGACAAGGCTGTCTACTCTCTCCCTTCCTGTTTCTTCTGGTGGTCGACTGGATTATGAAGACCTCGACATCTGAGGGAAACCACGGCATACGATGGACAGCTCAGAACCAATTAGACGACTTGGACTTCGCAGATGACCTAGCCCTCCTATCACATACACACGAACAAATGCAGATTAAGACAGCCAGCATAGCAGTAGTCTCTGCATCAGTAGGCCTCAACATACACAAAGGGAAAACCAAGGTCCTCAAACACAACACGGAGAACAGCAATCCAATCACTCTTGATGGCGAAACTCTGGCAGATGTGGAATCCTTCACATACCTGGGAAGCATCGTCGATAAACAAGGAGGTTCAGATGCAGACGTCAAGGCGAGGATTGGCAAAGCTAGAGCGGCATTCCTTCAACTGAAGAACATATGGAACTCAAAACAACTTTCAACCAATATCAAAGTCAGAATCTTCAATACGAACGTCAAGGCAGTTCTACTGTACGGAGCTGAAACTTGGAGAACTACAACAACCACCATCAAGAAGATACAGGTATTTATTAATAGCTGTCTACGCATGATACTCAACATCCATTGGCCGGATACCATCAGCAACAGCCTTTTGTGGGAGAGAACCAACCAGCTTCCTGCTGAAGAGGAAATTAGGAAAAGACGATGGAAATGGATAGGACATACATTGAGGAAATCATCAAACTGCATTACGAGACAAGCGCTAACTTGGAATCCTGAAGGGAAGCGGAAAAGAGGAAGGCCAAAGAACACATTACGTCGGGAAATAGAAGCAGATATTAAAGAGATGAATAAGAACTGGAAAGAGCTTGAAAGGATTGCCCAGGACAGGGTTGGATGGAGAATGCTGGTGAGCGGCCTATGCTCCTTCACGAGGAGTAACAGGCGTAAGTAAGTAAAAATCTTGGGAGTGATAATATATTTGGATATATATTAACCTTAGTGCAGTTTCACTGAGTAAATAAATGTTGGTTATATTGTCTAACTTTAACAACGATTGCAGTAAGGCATAGTGAGTAAATAAATGTACACTTATCTGCCCATTCGTCCAACAATTCTTCAAATTACGCACAAATAGAAACAAATCCCGAAATTAAACATTGTGTTGATTGCTGAGAGTAGCTAACTTTGAATTCATCTTCATATCGCTTCAAACACGGAAGGGGTTGCTTTATTTCAAGCAGGTCAATTGGAGAACGGTAAGACTAAAAGCAACAACTCATGGTCTGAGGGCGAAATCGTACTGCTGACTGTATAGAGGTGTGACAGCAGTAAGGTGTTTTCCTCGGACAACCAGCATCTGCAGCGATGCTGCCTTCTCACAAGGAGGGGAGGGGTTAGAAAAGGTCGACCCTAAGAATGCTCACCTCGCCTTATCCCACGGATATCCGTCTCCGGCGGTAAGGTCTCAACAAGTACGGAGCTAACACGAAAATTACTCATATAAAGGTCGTGTGTGACCGACCACAAGCAGCTGTCCCTTGGGCACTGCGGTCACGCTCTCAGGTCACTAAGACCACCTCTAATCCAATTTCCTTTTCAGGTACCTCCAGCAGAACCCTTCCACGGTGTGGGCAACCGGGAAGTGATAACCATCCTTATACCTCTGACAGCACTCAAGACCACTGTATTCATAATCAACCTCACTCTTCAATTCCAATTATTCCCCCTACATCGACTTTCAAATCTAAACTCCCTCTTTCGGCTTCCTCCTCAAGTGTCACCACAGCCAACGATTCTAGTGCGCAAAACACTGTCCCCGGTCTACTGAAACCTCGCTCCAAACTACACATTGGAGCCTTCAACGTACGCAGACTACGCCAAATCGGTCAGCAGGCTTCCTTAGCTAAAACCTTAGAATCTCGTACGATTGATGTATGCTGTGTCTCCGAAACACGCATACATGATCCTAGAGTGGTCATTCACTTGACCTCACCTCGGCAGAAAGGAGAGCCGACGATATACACCCTCAGTGTATCTGGCGACCCGATGGCTAGTTCTCGTGGACTGGCAGGTGTAGGCATAGCACTAAGCATGAGGGCGGAACAAGCGCTATTAGAGTGGATCCCCGTTAATAGTCGTCTATGCGCTGTTCGGCTAAACGGCTCCGTAAGAACTCGAAAGGATAGGGACACATGTCGTTGCCTTTTCGTCGTTTCTGCCTACGCTCCCACTGACTGCAGTTCGGATGAAGTGAAAGATGAATTTTACAGAAAGCTGTCTGAACTTCTTCAGAAAGCTAAACGTTCAGACATAGTACTCGTAGGAGGCCACTTTAATGCCCAGGTAGGTAGCTTAAACGAAACAGAAAGACATTTAGGTGGGTGTTTTAGTATTCCGGCACAGCGAACAGATAATGGTGATCGTCTGCTACAACTTTGCTCAGACAATCGTTTATTTTTAGCAAACACAAATTTTAAGCATAAGGAGAGACATCGTCTAACATGGCGACCCCCTGAACCAAACCAACGATGGACTCAAATAGACCATATTGCCATCAGTCATCGTTGGAGAGGGTCGATAGAAGATTGTCGATCATTCTGGAGTACTTGCTTGGACTCCGACCATGCCCTAATACGAGCACGCATCTGCTTGCGCCTCACTGGACGCAAAAAAGCCACACAAAAAAGACTCATTAGAACCGAATTGAGTAATGAGAAAACCAAAAGTAGGTTCCAGGAACAACTGAGGTCACACTTAGGTAGTTCTGAAAACGAGACTGACCCAGATGTTGCTTGGAAAGTTGTACAAGCAACTGTGGAAACAGCAGTGACATCTACTAATGATTTAAACCACAGGGTTACAAAAAACCAATGGATTTCTTCAAGGTCTATTGCACTGATAGATTCTCGTAAAC